AGCTGCTGAGCTAGGCGCCTTTGAACCTGCTAGTGATTTCCCCACTTTATCACAGAACACGCACTGGAGGACAAGACGAATCAGAAAGTCAGAAAGCAAGACGGTCGAGCAGGGCTATCGTGACTGTATGATGTATTATGTATTCTTGGCAATCTAGAATCATACATACATCACATGTTTTTTTGTAGATTTCCATTTAATATTTTATTTTTGTTATATTTTTACACTTACATCTTCAATATTAATGCTAATACTTGACTGAAAAGTAGTGAGCAAGTCCTACCTGGTGTTTGTTGTATACTTCGTATTATATATGATCATATATTATAGGAAGTATATCATCAGCTGTATATTATATATTATTTACCCGGTACTTCGTATTACTCAGTATATTTTATACATTTATACTTCGTAGTTGATATGAATAATATACATGTTCTTGTGGGTCTGTTGAACACACCAAGCTTCCCTCACCCTTGCAGATCTAGCGGGATACAATCCGCAAACCTCCACGTATATACGTACCACATGTTCATGAGTTTTTCTAAGGGGGGTGGTGTTCCCCGTAGTCTTGGGCAAACAAAAAAAAAACTCACCGATTGCCCCTAGAATGGGGGCTTCCTTGTCCTCGTCTGCGCCGGTTTCAGCCTTGTATTTGTCCACCTCGACCTTGTGAGCTGTCTCGAGGTGCTTGGAAATGCCAGAAGTTCCCGAGCCTTTCCCTCTCTTGCCGGTTGCTGCTGCGGTTGCTGCTCCTTCCCACTCCATGAGGTGCTTGCAACTTGTCCCATCAGCCTTCTTCGCCATACACGCCACGTTCTTCCCGTTGATGGACGGGCTGAATCTACTCGCAAAGTGCCACGTCCAAGATGTCAACCTCCTTTTGCCCTCCATAGGCTCTTCAAGTGTGACTTGCACAGTTTTGCCGTTGCCAGCGTCGACCGAGGCNTCGTTTTTCTCCATCAAAGGTTCGTGCCTAGAGTTCAGCTGTAGTGCTTCAACCAAGTTTTGTTGACTTACAGGCAAACTTTCCTAGCTATTGGGCATCGAGTGAATTTGGCTTGGCATGACGGCCTTTACGATCGACTTTTTATGTATGTCTGCATTTTTATCTGCAATTGTCGGAGGGCAAACAAAATAATAATAATACTTGAGACATAAAATTACAAAAAAATGTTCTCTTCAGTCACCATTTCAACAGAATACCGTGGTTTCAACAGAACACAAAATCAAAAGCGCCTCACCTTCTCAATCCAGGGTTGGATGTCCTCGGCAGTGTGGCTGCCGGGAAACGCTCGTGTCGCCAGCGCGATGCGGGTGATGTCCGTGTTGCCCTTCTTCACGAACGTTACGGTGAAGGTGGTGTATTCCTCGCCGCCCGCTGTTGGAAGATCCAGCTGGGCACCAAGCAAGGGTCCCGAATACCCCATGCCGAGGTTCTACTCTAGTAGCGTCCGCAACTCGCCGACGACGGATGAGAGTACCGTGCCGTAAACCTCGTCCAAGATCTGGTTGAACGTGTTCTTGGCCATTGTGGTTTTCACGTATTCGGGGGAAAGAGACCCCAAGTAGAGCTTAAAGCCTTGGTCGAACCGCACTTGCTCCGGCCTCAGGTCGTTGCAGCACCAGAGGACGAAACGGCGGTCAGCCGCTTCCCTCCGTTGTTTGGTCATCGTCGGCACCATGTAACTTTTCAGCGACGATGAGCTCGGTGCGCCTGCTAAGGGAGCTGCTGAGCTAGGCGCCTTTGAACCTGCTAGTGATTTCCCCACTTTATCACAGAACACGCACTGGAGGACAAGACGAATCAGAAAGTCAGAAAGCAAGACGGTCGAGCAGGGCTATCGTGACTGTATGATGTATTATGTATTCTTGGCAATCTAGAATCATACATACATCACATGTTTTTTTGTAGATTTCCATTTAATATTTTATTTTTGTTATATTTTTACACTTACATCTTCAATATTAATGCTAATACTTGACTGAAAAGTAGTGAGCAAGTCCTACCTGGTGTTTGTTGTATACTTCGTATTATATATGATCATATATTATAGGAAGTATATCATCAGCTGTATATTATATATTATTTACCCGGTACTTCGTATTACTCAGTATATTTTATACATTTATACTTCGTAGTTGATATGAATAATATACATGTTCTTGTGGGTCTGTTGAACACACCAAGCTTCCCTCACCCTTGCAGATCTAGCGGGATACAATCCGCAAACCTCCACGTATATACGTACCACATGTTCATGAGTTTTTCTAAGGGGGGTGGTGTTCCCCGTAGTCTTGGGCAAACAAAAAAAAAACTCACCGATTGCCCCTAGAATGGGGGCTTCCTTGTCCTCGTCTGCGCCGGTTTCAGCCTTGTATTTGTCCACCTCGACCTTGTGAGCTGTCTCGAGGTGCTTGGAAATGCCAGAAGTTCCCGAGCCTTTCCCTCTCTTGCCGGTTGCTGCTGCGGTTGCTGCTCCTTCCCACTCCATGAGGTGCTTGCAACTTGTCCCATCAGCCTTCTTCGCCATACACGCCACGTTCTTCCCGTTGATGGACGGGCTGAATCTACTCGCAAAGTGCCACGTCCAAGATGTCAACCTCCTTTTGCCCTCCATAGGCTCTTCAAGTGTGACTTGCACAGTTTTGCCGTTGCCAGCGTCGACCGAGGCTTGAGTCTCCGGTGGGCTTTGCAACATTGGCACGCTCTCAGCCACCGGTTCACTTGCATTCCCACCCAACGAATCGCCAGCAGCACCAGCACCCTCGACACTGCTACTGTCAGTACTACCGGCATTCCCCTGTACAGCTGCCATCTTTCTGGTTCTGCTGGACCGCACGCACTCTGGGACCGCGTGTGTGCGTGTGTGGCTGCAGGCCGCGGTCTTGCGACCATCAACTCCAAAGGCCACAAAGCAGAAAATAGGTTCTACCGAAAAGCAACAACCCAGCCCGATAGAACCAAATGAAGACACAAAAGAAAAAGGGAAAGGAAAAAGAAAAAGCAGGAAAAAAAAGGGCAAAAAAACACAGGATGCCGGAGTTGAACTTCAGCTCCTCTCTTGACACGTCAACAAATCAACAAATGACCAGCAAATGATGCTGGCGGACTCATCTCGGTACTTTTTGACGGTATCGCAGTATGACGGTAGTTTTTTTACGGTTGACGGTACTTCGTTTTTTTACGGTGCTTCTTTGACGGTACCGCAATATGACGGTACCACTTTTGGCGGTTGACGGTACTCCGTTATTTGACGGTACTTCTTCGGCGGTTTTGCAAAATGACAGTACTTGTTTGGCGGTTGGCGGCACCTTGTTTTTTTTACGGTACCACGTTTGGCGGTTCACGGTATTGCGAAATATGACGGTATTCCCGCGGAGTACCGGGACCGACCTACACGACGGGAAAAAAACCTGGGGAATTTTCCCGAGGACTACAATTTTTATTAGTAGTCCGATTGGTACATACCGTATTGCTGCTGTAGGGTGCTGACAATGGTGCTGGTTTTGGTTGTCCTGGATTGCGCCTTTTGTCCCGCTACAAACCCGATAGGTCGTCCTAGTTGTTGCTTACTGTACCATGTGAAGAAGGATGCCCGCACCTGACGAGGAATCCCCCGTTTCCAGCGGAAGCTCAGATTTTACGTTTCGACCGCGGGTGTTTACATCTTGTATTCATACTGCAAACAAATTAGGGCCTGTTTTAACGCTAGCAAGTTTTGTTCCCTAAATTGAGGACCCAATTTGAATGGAGCAAATTGGGTTTTTGGGCAAAAAGGGCTTGCGTCGTTTTATCGTAATTTTGCCACATCGGGGCTCAGCAACCCCAAATGCGGCGGAATCGCTGCCGCGAGGTGACGTGGTGACCAACCGGGTAGAGCGATAGACCATGTGCACCACACGGGAGCTGTGCAAATATATCAGCACACACACGAAGCTAAGCATCGGCAGGCGGTGCCAGCGGTCCAAGCCTCATCCTCAGGCTTGCTCTACAATTCTTGTGTTTGGACTGTCTTGCTGCACACAACCGGCCGTTGACTTTGACATCGCAAATAATGGAAAACAACCTCCGCAGCAACCCAACCAGCGCGAAAAGTTGACACGCTCACAGAATTATTGCAATACAGCTATTTCCCAGCAGCAGGCAGTGGGCAATGCGTGCGGGTGCCGCACAGCCAGTGCGTCACATGCGGTCCAGTCAAGGGTAACGCAACACAAGTTCAGCTCATCACGGGGGGTGCAAAAGGGTTGCAGTGCAACCCGGGTGCTTCGATTCAGCAAAAAACAATATATTTTCATTTTTTTCTCGCTTCACCCAATATCGAAGTCCCGCTTCTCTGGGCTGAGAAAGCCTCATCGTGTTTTTTCTTGTTGACCAATCAGCGCCTTTGCCCCCCGGCACCCCCCCCATACTTAGTTTTCGCAGGGCCTCCATTTAGGTGCCACTTTTTAACGTTAAAACTGGCCCTCAGTAGGTAGGATTTCCTTGATGGAGGGACATAACCCCGAGTTACCTTCACCATGTTTACAGCTTTTCTGGCCATGTAGGGGGTGGGGGGTGATAGGTCAGAGGATACAAGCAACGCCTGGGCTTCTTTCCACAGCACGATAAACATGCGGAATTAATGATTTTGTTGAAGAGCCTTCATGCAGAAGAAGAATTGTCTGTTGTTGGCTTCTATCTTCGCCGTGCTTAAACGTAGGCTGGCACTGCTGGACTGTACGTTGCATATGCTCCGGCCACCAATGGTCTAACTGAACTGTACACACGTTTCAATCATTTTGTTTTCTTTTTCCGAGTGGTTTGTACCCTATTTTTGTTTTTTTTGTTTTCTCGCGGAGTCGTATGTGCCGGGTTTTGAGACCACGGGCTCCCCATTTTTTGTGGACTATAGAGCTAGTGTGAGAAACAACAACAACAACAACAACAACACGTGCGCTGTCGTGTTTCGATATTGACACCGCCTGGCTGCTACGTTTCGACAATGTGATACCAGGTGACAATGGTCCGGCAAGGCCTTTTGTCGTGGTATGACGAAAACCGCCGCAGGCTGCCCTGGCGGGGTGATCCTCCCCCCTGGACAAGGTGAAGTCCTTTGAGATTTGCAGCAGTACAGCACACCAGTCGACAGAGGCGAGCCGGCTCGTAAATGCGCTACGAATCGCGCGAACATGTGCGAATGATGAGCATGTTTGCGCGTGAAAAACACGGGACATAATCAACAATTTCATTTGACCTCCGCATACTAAATGGTGAAATTATAGGGCTAATTTATCCTTGGAATTTCAGGCCCAGATGGTGAGGTACTGCTTGAAGAGTGCCACAAATTGCGGACCTGTGAGAAAAAAAAACATTCAGCATATTGTTTCGATCTCCGTTGGAGAGGATAGGGGTGGAGCGAGGGACGGGGGGGG